ATTGACCATGTTTCTCCACTGTCTGATCACCTGGCCCAGGTGCCATTGCCCATGTTTCTCCACTGTCTGGTATCCTGCACCATACTCTTTGAAATGAAATCACAATGAGCAGCACACAATCAAGGAGTGGGGACTCTGCATTTTTTAAACAAAAACACATATGAAGTAGTTTTGGAAAAGCAGGTGTGAGTGATGGGATGTTACTGAATTACGAGGAGTGGCAAAGAAACAAAAATGAAAACAAAAAGACTGAAAGCAGGCAACCTCAAAACATGCATTTCTGGTTTGTTTCAGAAAAAAATACTCCTTACTGTTGCTATGAGAAGTAAGAAAATCATTTATTTGAACTTTGTAATTTGCAAAATCAAGATAGATTTCAACCTTGGCCTTTTTTTCTTGTTGATTTTAATTATGGCAAACAGTTCTTATCTATTCCACTGTACACTTATCTGTACCACTGGGACGCCAAAGCTACAGCTGCAGCCAGAAATGGAAAGATTAAATTGGTCTGTCTTTCATTATTAATTGAAGAGTTATAGAACATTGCTTTCTTAAAGGCAGTGCCTCGACATTACTGGGCAGTCCAAGTTCAATGCAAAGAAATAGAGGAAAACAATAGAATGAGAAAGACTAGAGATCTCTTCAAGAAAATTAGAGATACCAAGGGAGCATTTCATGCAAAGATGGGTACAATAAAGGATAGAAACAGTATGGACCTAACAGAAGCAGAACATATTAAGAAGAGGTGGCAAGAATACACAGAAGAACTATACAAAAAAGATCTTAATGACCCAGACAACCACAACTGTGTGATCACTCACCTAGAGCCAGACATCCTGGAGTGCGAAATCAAGTGGGCCTTGGGAGGAATCACTATGAACAAAATTAGTGGAGGTGATGGAATTCCAGCTGAGCTATTTCAAATCCTAAAAGATGATGCTGTTAAAGTGCTTCACTCAATATGCCAGCAAATTTGAAAAACTCAGCAGTGGCCACAGGACTGGAAAAGGTATTTTCATTCCAATCCCAAAGAAAAGCAGTGCTAAAGAATGTTCAAACTACCACACAGTTGCATTCATTTCACATGCTAGTAAAGTAATGCTCAAAATTCTTCAAGCTAGGCTTCAATAGTATGTGAGCCGAGAACTTCCATATATTCAAGCTGGATTAAGAAAAGGCAGAAGAACCAGAGATCAAATTGCCAACATCCATTGTATCATAGAAAAAGCAAGAGAATTCCAGAAAAAACATCTACTTCATTGACTACGCTAAAGCCTTTGACTATGTGGATCACAACAAACTGGAAAATTCTTAAAGTTATGGGAATACCAGACCATCTCACCTACCTCCTGAGAAACCCATATGCAGGTCAAGAAGCAATAGTCAGAACCGGACATGGGTCAGCAGGCTGGTTCCAAATAGGAAAAGGATTATGTCAAGACTGTATATTGTCACCCTACTTATTAACTTCTATGCAGAGTATCATGTGAAATGCCAGGCTGGATGAAGCACACACTGGAATCAAGATTGCTGGGAGAAATATCAATAACCTCAGATATACAGATGACATCACCCTTATGGCAGAAAGTGAAGAAGAACTACAGAGCCTCCTGATGAAGGTGAAAGAGAAGAGTGAAAAAGCTGGCTTAAAATTCAGCATTCAAAAAACTAAGATCGTGGCATCTGGTCCTATCACTTCATGGCAAATAGATAGGGAAACAGTGGAAACAGTGACAGACTTTATTTTCTTGGGCTCCAAAATCACTGCAGATGGTGACTGCAGCCATGAAATTAAAAGACACTTTCTTCTTGGAAGAAAAGTTATGACCAACCTAGACAGCATATTAAAAAGCAGAGACATTACTGTGCCAACAGAGGTCTGTCTAGTGAAAGCTATGGTTTTTCCAGTGGTCATGTATGGATGTGAGAGTTGGACAGTAAAAAAGGCTGAGTGCTGAAGAGTTGATGCTTTTGAACTGTGGTGTTGGAGAAGACTCTTGAGAGTCCCTTGGACTGCAAGGAGATCCAACCAGTCCATCCTAAAGGAGATCAGTCCTGAGTGTTCATTGAAAGGACTGATGGTAAAGCTGAAGCTGCTATACTTTGGCCACCTGTTGTGAAGAGCTGACTCATTAGGAAAAACCCTGATGCTGGGGAAGATTGAAGGTGGGAGGAGAAGGGGACCACAGAGGATGAGTTGGTTGGATGGCATCACAGACTCGATGGACATGAGTTTGAGCAAGCTCTGGGAGGTGGTGAAGGACAGGGAAGCCTGGCATGCTGCAGTCCATGGGTTGTAGAGAGTCAGACATGACTGAGAGACTGAACAACAATAGCCAAGTTAATGAGAGCTCTGCATAGCTTGACTTGTCCTGGGTTGTTGTTTTCATTGTTGTTCAGTCACCAAATCGTGTCTGACTCTTTCTGACCCCATGGACTGCAGCACATCTTTCTCCTCTGTCCTCCATTATCTCCCAGAGTTTGCTCAGATTCACGTCCATTGAGTCCATGATGCTCTCTAACCATCTCATCCTCCGCCGCTGCCTTCTCCTGTTGCCTTCAATCTTTGCCAACATTAGGGTCTTTTCCAATGAGTGGACTCTTCACATCAAGTGGACAAAATATTGGAGCTTAAGCTTCAGCATCAGTCCTTCCAATCAATATTCAGGGTTGATTTCCTTTTAGATTGACTGGTTTGCAGTTCCCAGAATATTGGAAATAAAAGCAAAAATAAACAAATGGGACCTAATGAAACTTAAAAGCTTTTGCACAACAAAGGAACCTATAAGCAAGGTGAAAAGACAGCCTTCAGAATGGGAGAAAATAATAGCAAATGAAGAAACAGACAAAGGATTAATCTCAAAAATATACAAGCAACTCCTGAAGCTCAATTCCAGAAAAATAAATGACCCAATCAAAAATTGGGCCAAAGATCTAAACAGACATTTCTCCAAGGAAGACATACAGATGGCTAACAAACACATGAAAAGATGCGCAACATCACTCATTATCAGAGAAATGCAAATCAAAACCTCAATGAGGTACCATTACACGCCAGTCAGAATGGCTGCTATCCAAAAGTCTACAAGCAATAAATGCTGGAGAGGGTGTGGAGAAAAGGGAACCCTCTTACACTGTTGGTGGGAAAGCAAACTAGTACAGCCTCTATGGAGAACAGTGTGGAGATTCCTTAAAAAGCTGGAAATAGAACTGCCATATGACCCAGCAATCCCACTCCTGGGCATACACACCGAGGAAACCAGATCTGAAAGAGACACATGCACCCCAATGTTCATTGCAGCACTGTTTACAATAGCCAGGACATGGAAGCAACCTTGATACCCATAAGCAGATGAATGGATAAGAAAGTTATGATACATATACACCATGGAATATTACTCAGTCATTAAAAAGAATACATTTGAATCAGTTCTAATGAGATGGATAAAACTGGAGCCCATTATACAGGGTGAAGTAAACCAGAAAGATAAACACCAATACAGTATACTAATGCATATATATGGAATTTAGAAGGATGGTAACGACAACCCAATATGCAAGACAGAAAAAGACACAGATGTACAGAATAGATTTTTGGACTCTATGGGAGAAGGTGAGGGTGGGATGATCTGAGAGAACAGCATCAAAACATATTATCAACTGTGAAATAGATCGCCAGTCCAGGTTGGATGCATGAGACAAGTGCTCGGGGCTGGTGCACTGATGACCCAGAGGGATGGGATGGGGAGGGAAGAGGGAGGGAGGTTCAGGCTGGGGAACACATGTAAATCCATGGCTGATTCATGTCAATGTGTGGCAAAAACCACTACAATATTGTAAAGTAATTAGCCTCCAACTAATAAAAATAAATGAAAAAAAAAAAGATTGACTGGTTTGATCTTGCAGTCCAAGAAACTCCCAGGAGCCTTGTTCTGTTACCATTTCTATATTATAGACAGAGAGCCTCATTACTTCCCTCTAGTGGTCAGCTTTATAATTTTGAATTCTAGTTGGGAAAACTCAGCAAGAGAAGCTTCAAACTTACAGTGATCTTTCTTGATAATTTTCCTTCATATTTTAATATGGATGCTAAAAGACAAGGTGTTTGAATTTTAGTGTGTATTTTTGGATTAATTCTTAAATGAAGCAGTGTTTTCAGGAGGTAAGTAATTATAACTTGATTAAAATGTAAAGCGTTGATTAGTATTCTCGGCAGAAGGTTTACCTAACTACTGTTATACTGAGAACCTCAGCGGCCATTTGATTTTAAGCAGGGAATTGAATTTGGCTTCTTGTGAGTGTTTCATCAACTCTGTAGAAGCAAGTGTGTATTCTAGATAAATTTGAAAACCACCGAGCTCTCTAGGGCTAAGAGTGAGAGAGTCCTCTAGAGTATTATTTGTCATTCCTTCACAGATAAAATTTTATCTGCAGTGCAGGAAATGGCCTTTTTAAAAAAGAGCTCCACATTGGCATTCATTACTTTACCATGCTTTAAAAAAGATGCAGTGCTTTTCATAGGATGCTATCTCTACATATACTTAGAAAGTTGAACTAATTTACAGAATTTGAGAATTTGTGTCATTCTTGATGGAGATGGTGGGTGACACAGTACTGGAGTATATAGGTACTCATCCTTTCAATGAGTTCTCATGTTTGTGACCAGACCTGGAGTTTCATTTCAGTGAGAGCCAGAGGGGATGTCCTCTAAGGGAGGCAATGAAATCAATTTGAAATCTGCAAGACCCCTCAGATGTGCTCCTGATCAGGACAGAAGCAGAACTTGAGAGGCACTGAGCCCTGCTTCTGTTGAGAAATAAGAAGGAAGGAATTCACACAGAGAACCTAGATTTACCAGTCATCTCTTTGTGCCTATCTGTGATACTCTTGTTGCATACCATACCACGTGGATAGGGTCAAGGCGAAGTTGATGTATCTTTGTTCTCCTGAACAGAAGTACCTTTAGTAACGAGGTTGCCTGTCTGTTGTTGCTTGTCCAGCTCCACCTGATCCACTGGAACTCCACCTTGTTTGGCAGCATTGATGAGGCTGTGGGGAAGCCCCATGGAATCGCTATCATCGCTTTGTTTGTCCAGGTAAACGGTCTCCTGCTAAGATTATTACATGGTTCAGAGATGCTTCTTTCCAATTCATTTTGCAGAAGGTTTTTTGTTCTCTCTCAGTTTTACTACTTAGAAGGGACATTAAGTGCTTATACAAAGAACATTGATAGTTTAAAAATAGAAAACTTGGGGCTTTCCTGGTAGCTCAGTGGTAAAGCATCTGCTTCCCAATGCAGGAGACACAGGTCAATCCCTGGTCCTGGAAGATCACATATGCCTTGGTCCAGCTAAGCCCATGTGCCACAACTATTGAGCATGTGCTCTAGGGCCTGGGAACAGCAACTATTGAGCCTGTGTGCTGCAGCTGCTGAAGCCCGAGGGCCTTATAGCCTGTGCTCTATAAGAGGAGCCACGACAATGAGAGGCCTGGGGACTACAACTTGAGGGTAGCAACTAGAGAAAGCTTGTGTGTAGCAACAGAGACCCAGCACAGCCAAAAATAAAGAAATGAAATTAAAAAAAAATGTGGTCTCTGTGGATCAAGTTCAGCCGTATTCACTGGTAGAAAATGGTTCACTGTGTTTTCAGAAATTTTCTTCAGAGTGGCATTCAGAGTCATTGGAGAAATGAATTAGAAAATGTCTCCTAAAGGCAGAATTCATTTTATTAATGAAAAAGAATTTCAGGAAATGTTTTTGGACCCCGCCTCACTGCAAAATCTAAGAAAAATCAATAGTATAGTCATGCAGTAGATTCCTTTAGCTATTTGTTATGAGTAATTTTCCTTCTAAGATGATTGGAAGTGGCTTGTAGAAAAACACTGATGAAATAAGACTGGCAAAGACCTTGGTGGATATAAAGTTTAGATTTGAGCTTTGTGGTGGGCAAAGAATATTACATGCATTGAGTGAAATATACCCCTGGAGGAGGAAATGACAACCCACTCCAATATTCTTGCCTGGAGAATCCCATGGACAGAGGAGCCTGGTGGGCTACAGTCCATGGGGTTGCAAAGAGTTGGACACAACTGAGCATCTAGCATGCTTACAGTAAAATGTACAAATTGGAAGTTTTGCTTTCAAAGGTAAGATTTTAATTTCGTTTGTCAGGTGACTCTTTTAAACTTTGTTGTATCATCTTCTTGATGCAATAAAAGGTTTAGAGCTGAAAGAGACCCTGGAGGGTGTTCCCAGGTGGCTCAGGGGTAAAGAATCCTCCTGCCAATGCAGGGCTTGAAGGAAGATGCAGATTATCTATGTGACAATGCCTTTCTCAGGAAAGAGCAATATCACAGAAATTGAGCACAGATGTTCATGGAGGAAAGAAGGGCTGATCCTGAGTGTCAGCTGAGGCAGAGAGGAAAGGACCACATCCAGGGCCTTGCACTTAGCACCAGAGGCTGAGAAAGCAGAGAGGAGTGTGTCCAGGCAGTGAGGATGGAAACTTGACTCAAAGACAGAAGGGGTGATAACTAGCGGTGATGTGCACAGCGAGATTCAGTTTGTTTCATTTTGAGATCCGAGATGGGCCTGTGGTTTTATTCTGAGCAAAAAGAGCGAGTGCAGGACTTCCCTGGTGCTCCAGTGACTAAGACTCTGCCCTCCCAGTGCAGGGGGCCCGGGTTTGATCCCAGATTGGGCAACTAGATACCGCAGGCTGCAATTGAGAGTTTGCTTCCCGAAAACAAAAAAAAAGATCCCTCATGTCACAGCGAAGATCGAAGATCTTTCCTATCTTAACTAAGACCCAGTGTAGCCAAATAAATAATTATATATATATATATACTAAAAGCTAGTGCAGATATAGTTTGAAAATACTGCAGGAAAGGAGATGATTGATGTAGAAGAGCCCCAGAGGAAGCAGGGGGTGTCGGATGAGAGTTTATGTGGATGCACTGAACCCAGACAGGAGGGGCCCCACCCTTTCTCCCAAACAGAGGGCTAGCAGGAAAGGGTGGGCACCAACAGCAAGCACTTTTAGGTGAAGAAAGACAGGAAATTAGGGGAGTTCATGCCTGATGACCTGTATTATCTCCCAGACATGCACAGCAAAATTATTTATAGAGCAGAGGAAATGTGGGTGTGGGATTGAGTTTTGAAATAGCTCAGGAGGTGAATGACAACAGACTTGACCTTCAGGGTGGGAGACCCTCTTGAGATTGGACATCACAGACAGTCTAGGACAGCGGACATTGGGCTAGTCTCTCCATCCACCACGAAGAGCAGAGAATTCTAGCAAATTAATTGTTGCATTGATGGGTTGCGGAGCAGATGATTTAGGAGGGCAGAGGGACTAGAAGATGGAGAGATGTCTTTCAGGGTAGGCAGGAAAGGAAAGAGACGGAGCCAAGAGGGACCCCAGGGCCTGACTCCTTGTGATCAGTGAACAGGAAGAGAGAGAAGAGAGGAGAAGATGGATGGGTGGGCAGTTACGGTCAGAGGGGATGGTCTGTGGAGTTGTGGGTGTCAGAGTGAAAACAAGTCCAAGGTACATTCTTAGGATTGGTTGACAGAGGTGGGATGGAGCTGAGGGACATGGACTGAGGGGTCAAGAGAGAGGCCAGGGAGGGCATAGGTCACACCCAGGGATGCTGAAGTCCTCTGGGGTGACCACAGGAGGGAACAGCCATTGGTTGTAACCAATGGATAGTTGAGCAGGATAGCATGGGAGGAGGGCGGTCCACTCAGAGGGGACTGGCCTTGGGCTTATGGAACAGAAGACCCATCAGAAGGTAACAGCTAGGCACTGGCCAGAGCTCTTAATCTCATCTTTGAGGGAGGCTGCACAGTGTCCACTCAAAAGGCTTGGAATGAAGACCTTGAGCAGATCCAGGAGGTGGCAGGGAGCTTGTCAAGGATGTGGAATTGTCCCATTCCAGAGGGTATGGTGGGAAGTGAGGCGATTAGCTGTACAAGTTGAAAAATTCAGGGCTTTGCAGGGCTGAGGTTCTCGGAGAGGAAACTGACCAGAGGGCTGGCATTCTGGACAATGGTGAAAGATGGTGAAGGGCAGAGGTCAGAAGTTACCTGGTGGCGGGTGGACTCTTGGCCCCAGGTTGCGTTGTCATGCACACTGTTGTAGGATTTTAGGGACTGGGCTGTGCAGAGTATCATCCATGTTTTCTTTTTGGTGGCTGTAACGTCTTCAGACAGGACTTTGACAAAGAAAGGAAGAAACGAGATGGAGCGATAGCTGGAGTTGGTTGCAAAATATAGTTATGTCCACGAAGTATAGAACCTTTGTAGATAGAAAGAGGCAGTAATAGTTACTAAGTGCTGTATTTGATGCTGTGTAGCATTCTGAGTAAGAGTGATCTGGGTGATAATCACTGAGTTTCGATGCACCGTGCCCTGTTCTAAGGTTTTTGTTTGACTGAGTCTTGTTTTCAACTCCATCACTTTTAATCCTCCCTGCTGTATAGAGGAGAAACCTGAAGGACAGAGAGTTTAGGTAAACTTGCTCAAGACTGAACAGTGAGTCAAGGTCAGAACCCAGCATCCAACGCAAGTGACCTTGTTCCTGGGCCACTAAACTGTGTGGCCTCACAGTGTTCAGATGTGGGCTGTTCAAAGAATTATGCTCTGATTAGAGATGCATGAAGTGACGACAGAGCCCACCTGTGGGTGTAAGCATCCAAATACTATATTCTGCTTAAGCCAGTACAACAGAAAGTGGAAGTGTTAGTTGCTCAGTCATGTCTGACTCCGTGCGACCCCATGGACTGTAGCCTGCCAGGCTCCTCTGTCCATGGAATTTTACAGGCAAGAATACTGGAGTGGGTAGGCATTTCCTTCTCTGGGTGATCTTCCTGATCTGGGATTGAACCCGGGTCTCCCACAGCGCAGGCAGATTCTTTACTGTCTGAGCCACCAGTACGACAAAGGGGTCTGTTTTTCCCTGAAGGTGGGGTGCAGGCGTCTGCCTACAGGTCCACGCTTTGACACCAAGGAGTGCATTTTGCCTAAGATACACACACACACACACACACACACACACACTAACTTAAGAGAATCCATTTTCTATTTCTAGAGCCTATCTCAGGAATTGCAAACACTTGGAAAATATAATCTTGATTATTTGGAACTGATTGGCCTGTCTTGGGTTGTATAAGTTTCCTGTCACACCTCTTTCCTTTGATCCCCTTTGACCTAGTGTTTTTCCAAGTTGGTTCACAATGGAGAGAAGCAGGGCATGTGAGCATGGTGACATTGAGCAAGGACCTATTATTGTAGGTCCTTGTGGATCATTCTCCAAAAATTTATGTGCAAGAGAAAAAGCAAACCATAACAAGGATTGTTTATCTGAGGTTATAAAGGGTCTCTGTTGTGACTGCCTTCCATTAGCATGGACAGAAACTGTTGAAACTTGACTGAAAAGTAGAAATGAGATTATGCTTATAATTTTTAAAGTTAGAATCAAGAATACTTCACATCATATTCTTTTTAAAGTCTCAAATTCCTTGGGACATTTTAGGCACTGAAAATATGTAATGATATATAATGCTTTAAAATAGAAAGCTACAAACAGCATATTCTTATTTATTTAAGAATAAATAGGTGATTATAGAGTTATGTCCAATGATAATCAATAAGTGTCTTAATTTCAGTGACTTTAGCATATGAAATCACATTATTTTTTGAAGTTAGTAAAAGTTTTTCAACATGAATACAGTCTTTATAGTAATGATCTAGAAATGCTAAAAGTAAAAATAGAAGGCTTTGGGCGTGTGTGAAAAATTCTAATTCAGAAATATCCTCAAAACTTTTATATAACAGTGTCATGTGATTATATATATATATATAAACATAAATATATTTGTGATTATATATATATATAAACATAAATATATTTATGTTTATATAAATATAAATATGTAGCACAGTGGGTAAAATCTATACCTAGCAAGGTAAATTTAAAATAGATTCTTGGAAATGCCCAGGAACATATCTAATACTTTCTTGTACTTTAATTGCCTTTAGTTGACTTATTTATTAAGAAGTAAGTCTTATAGTCCCAAGGAGGACTTTCAGGTGAACTTGAATTTCACTTCAGTTGGTTATTTTACTTACGTTTTTAAATGCTTAGTAGCTATGGTTTATACTTTATACATTGCAGATCGGAAAAGAGCACGTGGGCCTGAAGGCTGTGACTGAAATCCTCCAGGATATTCAGTACAAGGTAAGTCATTCTCTAAAAGAAAATAAAAATACTGGTTATGTAAGAGCCTTTCATGTCTACTCTCAGGCTTGGGGATTCCCTAAAAGGACTCAGACAAGCTGTTAGTCTCCTAGTTGTGGTTTATTCCCCTGGAAGGATACAGGTCAAAAGTCAGCACAGTGAAAAGGTGGATGGGTCGCAGTCCTGGAGAAACCAGGCACAAGCTCTCAGATGTCCCCTCCCAGTGGAGCTGCCTGCGGGCACACCCGATTCTCCCAGCAGTGATGTCACAGCACTTGTGAAGCGCTGCCAGCCTGGAAAGTTTACCCGAGCCTTGGTGTCCAGGGATTTTATTGGGGGTCAATTATACCTGGGCAGTGCCTCAGGGTCTGACCTCAGTTGTGCTGACTCCAGCCCTCCCACCCCCACCCTGAGCAAAACCAGGCTTCCACCATAAATTACTTTGTTGGGATAAACTTATCAGGTCCAGCTGGTACAGCCTGTCCAAGGCCTCGGGCTCACAGAGCCACTCTTATCAGGTGGCTTATTCCAAGGACTCAGAGATGATCTCCCAGGAGGCAGCCAAGGGCCAGGCTTGAAGACAGGACTTTTTGGGGGGGGGGATTGTGTAGGATTGGAGCAACCCAGGCCTCCTGAGTACCTCGTTCTGCCCTCTGGATATAGGAAGGTGGTATAAACGAAGGAAATAAAAATTGTGGCAACCACACTTCAGAGTATTTATGTGAAAAGAAAAGCAACAGAAGCTCACATAAGTTGTTAAGATGATACCTCCCAGAGAAGGTGGCTTAGGTTGATTTGCCCCAGTGGCTCAGCAGGTAAAGAGTCCGCCTGCAGCACAGGAGACATGGGAGACCCAGGTTCGATCCTGGGTCAGGAAAATCTGAAGGAAATGGTGACCCACTCCAGTATTCTGGAGTCCATGGGGTCGCAAAGAGCCGACACGACTAGGCAACTGAGCCCGTACATCCTGCGCTGCCAAGAAGGTTAGACTCTGAGAGCCGAGTTTCAGCAGGAAAGTCACTTCTAAAGAATCCCTGGGTCAAGGCCCACAGCTCTATGCCAGGAGCAGGAAGGGCAGTGACGTGGGGCAGACAGACACTGGACAATTTTAAGTTCCACACCAGGGATTATGGGGAAATTCCTGAGCTGTGGCCATAGCGAAAATAGCTACAGACTCAGAGCAGGAACGTCTTGTTGGAACCAAGCCCTGTCACTCCAGTGAGAAGACAGATTGGCACACCCACAAACCTCTGGGGTCTGGCATTCAGACAAGACTTCAGGGCTTTCCCTGGTGGGTTCAGTGATTTCAGGATCCATGCTTCCACTGCAAGGGGCATGGATTTGATCCCTGGTCAGGGAAGTAAGATCCCACATGTACGGTGTGGCCAATAAGAAAAAACTTCAACCTCGATTTTTAGTGCTTATAAATGTTCTTATTCTAAGATTTTGTGTTAACGTGGGGTAAATTGTTTTCTTTTTTTCAGGGGAAGTCCAAAACAATACCCTGCTTTAATCCTAACACTTTATTACCAGGTAAGCATTTATTGGGTTGCATAGGGTGAATTTTAACTGTGGCTGTGACTGCATTGTTTTTCTCAGAATAAACACAACTGTATCTTATGAGTTAATGAGCTTTCTTTATAATTAATATTCTTTGTAGTTGTTACCAGTTTCAGATTGTTTTAAACTTGGGAGTAAACTTTTTGGGATAAGAAACATTTTACCACTGAGCTTCCCTGGTGGCTCAGATAGTAAAGCATCCACCTGCAGTGCAGGGGGTGAGGGTTCGATCCCTGGGTCAGGAAAATCCCCTGGAGGAGGCATGGCAACCCTCTCCAGGATTCTTGCCTGGAGAATCCCATGGACAGAGGAGCCTGGTGGGCTACAGTCCATGGGGTCACAAAGAGTTGGACACAGTTTAGCACACACAAACATACACACACACACATCTGGTATAGTATATCAAGTGTTTATATATCTAGTTTATATAACCATATTTAAATATGTGTAGGAATTCACTGATGCAAAATCACTATAAATAATAGAGGATACATCATGTTCTCTATCGGAGAAGGCAATGGCAACCCACTCCAGTACTCTTGCCTGGAAAATCCCTTAGACGGAGGAGCCTGGTAGGCTGCAGTTCATGGGGTCGCAAAGAGTCAGACATGACTGAGCAACTTCACTTTCACTTTTCACTTTCAAGCATTGGAGAAAGAAATGGCAACCTGCTCCAGTGTTCTTGCCTGGAGAATTCCAGGGATGGGGGAGCCTTGGTGGGCTGCCGTCTATGGGGTCGCACAGAGTTGGACACGACTGAAGCAACTTAACAGCGGCAGCAGCATGTTCTCTATTGATTGTTTTCTTCATATGATTAGTTTAAAAATATATATGTGAGGCTCCAGTTTAAAAATGACATCCATCTGAGACATGTTATCTGGACCATTTGTAATTTTGAAAATGATTGTTGGACCCTTTCAAATTATTTTTCATTAACTCGCCTTTCCGTGACTGGTCCTTGCGGTGGCACAGACCCCTTGCTGCGTGATTACTGGGTCTACGAAGGCTCTCTTACCATCCCGCCCTGCAGCGAAGGTGTGACCTGGATATTATTCCGATACCCTCTGACGATATCCCAGCTACAGGTGAGAGGAGGGCTTTAACCTTCCAGGATGAAGTTTTGCATTAAAGGGTAAATTTTCTGTCTGTAAAAGGGAAATGTCTGTTACATGTTCTTGCTCCTTTCAGCTCAATTAGATCAGTCACATCTCTTCAGATAAAGTTAAATGTCTTGAGCCAGTGAAAGCAGTTGAAAGGTCAAGGATGAACAAAACCCAGCTCCCATTTACCATCTGTACTTTAAAAGTCAATTTTTATAGAGTAAATAGAAGTCAGTGAAATACCCAAACTGTTTATTAGTCTAGTTACTGCTTCATGCGGGATTTCTCAGGTATTGGAGAAGAGAAAGCTCTTAGAGGTGAGGTGAAACACTGGTTATTTCTGTAAGTCACACTCGGGGTTTGTAACAGCTCTTTCTTGGCTTATACAGGAAAATTCTGTATGGAGACGGTGGGGGACCTAGGAAGAATGCCCTGTGAAGTTCTGGATTGTTCTCTAGCCCACTTTTGGTCTGCTGTCTCCCACCTTGGGTGCAGCATAGGTGCTCTAGATGCTAATGCAGTGTGTGAGGCACCAAGGTGAATTGTCACTGGGATGTTACTGGTGGGGCAGGATGCAAGGTCACTACAATGTGTTTAAACATTGATTTTGATTTATTAGTATCATAATATTTGATACTAACTGTAGTATTTGTTAACACTAAGAAGACAACATTATTAATGATCAATCTCAAAAGACTTAGGCAATAGACCAAATAATAAGCTGAGTTTCCTTTAGAAATTCTTTACAAACTTTTATTATACCTCTTATATTTTATAACAAGTTAAAGTTTACTCACTATTCAGAAAAGCTTTCTTTTGTTTGTCCTTAAATATTTAAAACACCTCTTTCAGCTTTGAACAGTTTCTTCTTATTTCTCTTTTTCTGAGGATTAATTTTAAAAGATACCCATTCAGCATCTTCATTGTTTCATTATTTTAGAAACTTTGATCACACCACCTTTGGGCCATCCTGTTTTTAATATGACAAATCTCAATTCCTTTATCTATTCAGTCATTTTTTTTTTCTTATGAGAAACTATTCCTGAGTGCCAACCAGACACAGAGGATTCAGAGATTAAAACACAATGTTTATTCTTAAAAAGTTCACTGTGGAGTTGGGGACTATGTTGTGTCATTAAGTAAGGAGCTCTGGAAACACATAGGAACAAAACCCAGTTCAGATTGGGAGGTCCAGGGAATAACTCCTGAAAAATATTGGGAGTTAGTCTATTAAAGGAGAGGGAAGAAATTAGAAATTCGAGTTGAATGTTAAGAATTGAGGTTTGGACTAATGAGATATAGATGAAATTTAACAGCGAAGATGGTAGCTGCTGTAACAGATATACCCCAAAACTTCCGTTGACTGGGGACTTCCCTGGTGGTTCAGTGGTCAGGACCTTGCCTTCCAATGCAGGGGGTGTGGGTTCTCTCCCTGGCTGGAGAGCTAAGACCCCACATGTTTCAGGGCCCAAAAAACCAAAGCATAAAACAGAAGCAATATTATAATAGACTCAATAAAGATTTTGAAAATGGTTCACATCACAAAAATCTTAAAAAAATTTTTGATGACTTATCGCAGTAAGAATTTATTTTTTTTTTACACTCCTAAAATCCAACAGATGTATTTTTGCTTCACAGTCAAGGCTTTTCTCTGTGTAGCTGCTTAGGGAAAGGGGTTGCAGGACACTCTGCCGTCTTTAATACCTCTCTTCTGTCAGGTGTGGCATATAGTGAGCAGGAGGGGAAAGCGTGGGGAGGGTCTGAAGGGAGACTGCTTTCTAAAGACTGGACTGAGAAATGGAGAACACCGTTCATGCTTCCATTCTATTGGCAGGAACTCAGCACATAGCCACACCTGGTTGTAGGGGAAGCTGAGAAGTGAATTCTAGCTTCGTGTCCAGGAAAAAGAAATGGATTTGATGATCTGTTCAGCTCAAGTTAAGAGACAAGATAGCCCAGCTGAGTGCCAAACCTCAGTGCAGATGGAGGAGACAGGGAGTCAGGGGCTTGCCCACGGGCCTTGGGGACAGCCGGGAGGGAGTGATGTCCTGGGATCCAGCATAGGAGAGAGGATTTCCAAGTTGTGGAGAAGGGAAGTGAACAGTGACAAATGCTACAGAGACTCTAAATAAGATGCGTGCAGCTCATCCAGGTAGAAAATACAGTAAGTCCCCTACATACGAAGCTTTAAGTTGTGAACTTTCAAGATGCGAATGTGCCCCTGTATGCCAGCAGTTGTGCTATGCTACTCTACTTTTCAAGGTACTGTACTGTAAAATTAAAAATTTTTTCTTTTTTGTGTTTGTTTATATATAATTTCTGTGAAAAGTATTATAAACCTTTTAAAGAGCAGTACTATATAGCCAGTTGTATTAGCTGGGTACCTGTGCTAACTTTGTAGGACTTAGAAACAAACTGGACTTACCAACATGCTTACGTAACTACGCTTTATAAACACATGCCCGGGGAACCACTGCTCGGTTCTCACTCTTCACTCTTTTTTTAAAGTTAATTTCCTTTATATATTTTATTATTTTTGTCTGTGATGGGTCTTTGTTGCTATCCATGGGCTTTCTCTAGTTGCGGTGCAAAGGACTTCTCATTGCAATGGCATCTTTTGTTGCAGAGCACAGGCTATAGGGCGCACGGTTTCAGTAGTTACTGCATGTGGAGAAGAATCCAGTAGTTCTTGTTCTTGGACTCTAGAGCTGAGGCACCATAGTTGTGGCTCATGGACTTAGCTGCCTCTCGGCATGTGTGATCTTCCCGGACCAGGGATAAAACCCGTGTCCCCTGCATTGGCAGGCAGATTCTCATCCACAGCCAGGGAAGTCTTCAACCTTGACTCTTGTTTCGTGCCCCAGTGTGTTCACTGGTGGATCTTGGTGCTTCTCTGTTGCTGAGCTTTGGCTTATGATCTCCAGCATCCTTCCTCCACCATCCCTTCCTTTATGCTGCTCTGGATGCTCTAGGTCCACACCCCAGCCCCTCCAGCCAGTTTGCCATGGAGAAAGCCATCATCTCTTTTCAGAGTTGCCATCATGCAAGAAAAGATTCATGAACAGGGACTGTCATTGCCAGTTAACTGAATCATTAACTGAAGTGAGATGATTCTGTAGAGCATTGAGCTGAAAGGGACCCAGGATAAGAGTTACAACTGCGTTAGTCACAGGGGAGGGGTCAGATTGGCAGAGGAAGCAGAAGCAGCTCAGGGTCTGCAGTCATATTTGTTTAGCAGTTTAGGAGCAATTTTCTAAAAATAAGTCAAATCTTTAATGAAAAATGACGTTTTCCTCTATAACCACAATAAATGTCTATTTGTTGAAAGTCAGTTTGAATGAACCTGGCTGAGCCACAGAAAATTCTCAGTTCCACTTAGAATTCCACATAGGATTCTCTCGCTAATTGGGGATGTTAACCAATAGTCTATAATGTGATGATTTACTTCCACGTCATCCAGTAAATTATGCAACAACCCAGAGACAACTCCTCATGCCTTTTGGTCTTGCAGGCTTCAAAGGGAGCCTTGCTTTGTACCACCCCCCTGAGTGAGGCCAGTGATAAAGTCTAACCCTAACTCACTAGGTCATGCTCCTCAATTATTGGGAAATAAAATGTGTCTTCCTCAAAGGGAGTCAAAGCCAAAGGAATGTGTATTTGAAGGAATAATTTCAACTGCTCTTGTAAATGGATAACTTTCCAGTTAGCTTTTCAAGAAAAGAAGATGTAGGTGCTGTAGTGCAGAGATGCATTGCAGCATCTGTTCAGAGAGCAGGAGTGTGGAAATGGACACACACACACACACTCTCATGGACATTAAATTGCAATTTAGAGTGATTTAGGGAAAAAAAATTGTAATCTTAGGAGAAAATGAATCAGTCTGTCCTTGATTTGAATGTTTCACTGTTGCTGCTCATATAGTTCCAGAGAAAGCAGAGTCCAAAATAGAGAAGGTCCAGAGAGGGCAGTAAAAATGAGAGGAACTAAAGGGCAAAGGTGTGATCCTAGAATCAGAACCAAGAATTGAGGAGCCTCACCTTGTTGCACTTGAAGAGGAGCCAAGAAACACAGAAACAGAGGCAGAGAGAGAGGATTGATACAGAAAATAAAAGGAATAGCAAATGACAGGTGGATGGCTATGGCTACTAAGTTGATTATATTGAGAAACAAAACTTTGTATTGAAGATATAGTGTGTCCTCTTATAGGGGTAACATATGTAACTAAGTAGCTGGGTGTTATGGGCTTCCCTGGTGGCTCAGCCTTAAAGAATCTACCTGCCAATGCAGGAGATGCGGGATGCGGGTTCCATCCTCTGCTTGCTAGTCCAGGAGAAGGAGTCGGTATGTATAGTGTAGTACTGACAGCTGAGCCCATCGTGAACCATTTACATCTTCCTGAGCACTAGAATCCTGATGTCTGGGACTGGGAGCCCCTGATTGGTTGGTTGACTTCATGTTGTTCTGGTTAGCAGACTATGCTATGGGAAGAAACCCACACAATTGAATGGATTTGGATAAGTGTGATTTAAAACATTAAAAAAAGTAATCTGTAACTATTGTCTCTGGCCTGCCAATGCAGGAGACATGGGTTCGATCCCTGGGTTGGGAAGATCCTCTGGAGAAAAATGGCAACCCACTCCAGTATTCTTATCTGAAGAATCCCATGGACAGAGGAGCCTGGTGGGCTATAGTCCATGGGGTTGCAAAGAGTCGGACATGACTTAGCGAGTAAACAACAACAGCAATTCATGTATTATTATGAATTTCCTGATGATAAAGGAAAATAAGATGAGACTTTTATGTGTTAGTTTTCTCTTTTAACATGATGATACATAAGATGTAAATCAAAACAAGTCTATTATAAAATGTGTGTAGGACCCCAGGAACTACTAAAAGTAATGTGTGCCAAACTTCAGACCCTAGAAATTAGCCTATTAACTACTCTCATGAAGAAAGCAGTTTTAAAGCTGAACTTTGAGTGAATCATCAAGGTCAGACATCAGCGAAGGTTGGAATGAACGTCTTAGACCAACGGTCGTGCCACCCAGTTCAGAGAACAGTGGCTGCTCAGCTTTCTACCTTCACGGGTGAGGACATGTCTCCCAAGTGTTAAATCTCTCTCCTCTCCATCTCTCTCTTTTAAATTGGCTGAACACAAATGCCATGTTTAAGTAGAAGAGCATTAAAAATCGATGAACTTGTACGTACTGATTGATAATGATGGCCCCTGTATGGCCCTGACATTTGAATTTAGTTGAAGACTTTTATCTCGGAATATTATTCTCCTCCTTTCTCACTCTGTCTCATTTTGGTGTGCAATAACAGAGTGCACACTCGAAACCATTTGAAGTGACTGAAGGGTTCTGAGGGGTGGTTACTTCAGAAAAATTGGCATTTCAGAGAGATGTGTTTTTCCCCCTGTCTTTGTTGATGTTTGAAGTCTTCAAAGCATCACTCTGATCAGAGAAAAACATTTCTTGTGAAGCAGTTCTCTCCAAGAAGGCAGTGATTGGAGACTGGCCGGCTATTGACTCAGATCTTCTCTTTTAGAAGAAGTTGTTTTCACAGAAGTTGTTTCAGGCTGAGGCCTGGGGCTTGAAAGATTTAGCTTCAGTTCAGAATACATAAATATAAAGTTAACTCAGCTTTGCAATAAGCTTCAGAGTCAATAAGAAATGGAGTATTTCTTGAAATACCTTGAGACAGTCAAGTTTTGAGTCCACAGTGCTCATTGGTGACCCTGTCCTGGGTTTATAGGTTCTGATTGCAGCTCTTACATATGATCACACACAGAGGGAATGGGAGGAAAGAGAACCTTCTGTTTCTTAGTCAATTGGTTTATTATTTCTAGTCTCCCTTTTTGCATACAAAATTGTAGGTAAATAATCATCTCCAAATGCTGAAGGTTGGACTTCAGAAGTCATGTGGTTATTTATGAACATTCTCTGTGTGTTTGGAACTGTGCCGAGTGTTTTCATGAATGATCTTATTTACCTCATTATCAACCTTGGGATACTGTTATCGTCATCATCTCTGTTATTCGCAGGTGGAAACTGAGCTTAGAAAGGAAGAACAATTGGGTCGTTTGGGTCTTGGGTAGCAGAGACCGGACAAGAACCAGCCTTTGGATGCAGTCTGTGTCCTTGACCTTCATCTTCGTTTTGAAAAATCATAGGCTTCTCTGACTAAGAAGGTTCCCTTTCACTCCATTCTTAGGGAAAACTAAAAAAAATGCACCTCACAAATAAGTATAAGGGATTCTCATGAAGACTTGGCTCTAGACATTTTTCAGGTGCAACAAGCAATATTCCCTGCTGCCATATTCTCTCCTATAAACCCCTGAGAAGGTCTAGTGAGAAACCATTATATAGATTTAACAGCTCATGGCTTATATGACTGGCACTTCTATATAAAAACAGCATGTAGACGTTATTTTAAAAAACAGGGCAATTCTAATAGGATCAGGGTTAACCCATTTAGGGAAATCAAACAGTATGTGAAGACATAGGAAGATAGAACTTTAGGAGTCAAATTTCTTTCCTTTTTATAATTCTGTTTATTTATTCATGGCTGTGCAGGTTTTTCTCTAGTTGCAGCAAGCAGGGGCTGCTCTTTATTGCGGTGCAGGGACTTCTCATTGTGACAGCTTCTCTTGCTGCATAGCACAGGTTCTTGGGTGCACTGGCTTCAGTAGTTGCAGTTTCTGAGCTCTAGCACACAGGCTTGGTAGTTGTGGCACATGGGATTAGTTGCTCTGTGGCATGTGGGATCTTCCCGGGCCAGGGATAGAACCCGTGTCTCCTGCATTGGCAGGCAGATTCTTTACTGCTGAGTCACCATGGAAGCCCAAGAAGTCAAATTTCTAACTTGGGTTCTGATCTAGCAAGCCATTTAACTTTTCTCAACTCTGATTTCCAATTCAGATGTGAGTGGATTGAATTAGAATCTTATGAGATTTGACTCTTCTGGAGTCAGGGAACCTCTTCTTAGGAGAATGCACTGGTGAAATTTTACAGGAGTCCCATGGGTCCTCTAAAGTATGGGGGTTTCTAGATTTTTATTAGAATCCTGAATTAGTTAACATCTTGTGGGTTTTTCCCCTCCTGATGGGGTTAAGTCTGTGTTGGCGCTGTGTGAACCTTTGTAGGTAGAAGCCTCTGATTCACAGATGGCGATGCTTTGGTTGATTGATACTGTTCAGGTCACATTTGCTCAATGTCCTGGGATATATGCCAGCTATAGGGTCTACTGATGACCAGAATTTCTGAAGAGGTGGCTGTGGGACTGGGAAGGGGGCACGTGACCTTGGAATTTTCAGACCCAGATTATCTGGAATCTTCCTTAACCTGCCTGGCCTCAGTTTCTCCTTTTGTGTAAGGAATGAAGAATGTCCCATGTGATTTTATGTGGCATTTAAAGGAAATAACAGATGATTTGACAAAGGTAAATCAACTGCTAGATGGCAGTGAGCTTGGTGAAAGCTCATCATGTGTTTGCTACTTGCTCAAACACTTCCAGTGAGTGGTGTCTGGCAGACTATGAGTTCTCAGGAGGTACAACTTGGCCAGTCAGGGAGACTGCAGTGCAACTGATGGGAATGGTCCCCCGGGACTGTAGCAACCAATAGTGTGTAACTGGAGACCATGGGATCTGGGGAGGCTGCCTGAGAAGGGAGATGAACTTGAAAATCACTGTTGCCACAGGAAGAAGATGGGCTTAAACTTTTGAAAAATCAGAGGCATTATTTGCTCTTTGGAGGGCTCAACAAGCAGCAAAGGGAGTTTTTTGATGAAAAGCCTCCATCTAATATATTTAACTTATAATCAGTGTTAGCACACAGTAACACCATGATTCATTATAGAGATATACTTGGGAAGCATTTCAGAACATTTCTTCATTTGTTCACTTTTTCTTATTATGTTACAACAGACATAGAAGTTTTTTTCTTTTAGGTATTACAGATTTTCTCCTTTTTATTTTTATCTTTTTTATTTTTGACCACAACAAGCAGCATGTGGGGATCTTAGTTCCCCTACCATAGATAGAACCAGTGACACCTGCATTGGAAGCATCGAATTTTAACCACTGGACCACTAGAGATGTCCCCATAAGAGCTATTTGAGAGAGGTGTATATAATTTTTGCATGAACAGATCCAGCAGGTTTTGACAGTTGTTTGGGTTTATCTGGAGGCCTTCATATCTCTGCTTCTGTTGTCTTCTTTCCTCTTGTAGAGGTTGTGTCTAATGTCTTAGCTCTGGAAGAACAAACTCAGTTTTCTCTTTTTTTAAGTTTAATTTTCTCTTTTTAAATGCTTGTAATTTATGCATATTTTAAGTAATTGATGAGATTCCCATCTTGCTCATGGCCGGTCGACAATTAATCTGTTTTGTTCTGCTTTTACTTTCAGATTGAAGAATTTCGAAGGCTGAGGACACATGTGAAGGGGGCAGAGCTCGTGGAGGGCTGTGATGGGATTTTGGGAGACAATTTTAGACCCACTCAGCCGCTCAGCGACAGAGTCATTAGAGCTGCGTTTCAGTAGCCAAAGAAAACAGGAGCTGATGTGTCTTCATCTGGGTACGTGGAGGTTAAGTGAGAAAACAGGCACACAGTTGAACCCGCGCTTGAAAGCAGCTCTCATGATGAACCTGTTAATTTCACAATGTGAATGCACTTCATTGAAATTTAGGACACATTCTCAAGCCCCATTCATTACAAGTCAGGTGGTTTGTAAAAATGTCATGCCCTATTAGGGAAAAATCTACATTCCTTATGTTTTCCCAGCAGTGCAGCCTTTCATTCTATTGATAAGTTTTGCTTTAATATCAGCTTTCATAAGGGAAGGTGCCCGAGGCAGGGTAACAGTGACATGCAAGTACTTCTTCTTTGGTACTCTGCTGTGTTGTTGTAGCTTGAAACTGCAGCTGTTATCTCGTGATGATTGGGGAGCATGAAGAAAGGGACTGGGAGCTGTTGATCCTCAAAGCTGGCCACTTGTCCAGTGCAGATTTGGTCATCTTGCTTATTCGGGTAGGTAGTGAGGGTAGATCAGGCCAGAGTGATAATACTTACCCTATGGAAGTGATTTTATTTGATAGATCAAGAAGCACTTGGTGATTATATAAATGCAGCATGTTTCTTTACCGATGGAAACATAATCTATACATTTTAATATATTGGATTTAATGTATGAGTTACTTACCCTTAAGGAGCTAACAAAATAAACATCACAAACAAGGAAAATATAAAATATATATAAGTGCCTGTGTACTGGGTTACTTCTTCACCTTGTAGATTGCCCAAGGTCACATACCTAGGTCACTGTGTTGCTATAAAACCACTGCTTCCCGTGAGAGGAAAGTGTCTGTTGGAACAGTTTCCTCGGAGTCAGGACAGAGCTCTGACTGTTTAGTGGTCCATTGGGAGTATGTCCTCTCAAGCTGTGTCAGTGGTCCAGTAGATGGGCGAGTCACAGAGGAACGGAAATCTCTGGCCTCCAGGAGCTCAGTCTGGGACTTCCTTGGTGGTCCAGTGGTTAAGACTTACCTTCCTGGAAGAGTGTGTGGATTCGATCCTGGTCAGGGAGCTAAAATCCCACATTCCTCATGGCCAAAGTAATAAAGTGTAAAACAGAGGCAATATTGTAACAAATTCAATAAAGTCTTCAAAAATTGTCCACATCAAAAAATATTTTTCAAAAACAAAGCTTAAGCCTGAAATAGTGAGCAGGACAATGTAAAAACATTTCAAAAGTACAGTTACAAATTGTAATAAATTCTGTGAATGAGAAGAACAAAAAAGTGGAGTGGAGGAGGTTTTGGCTAGAGGGAATATCTTTGCAAAGACCCTCGAGGGTCCCCTCGCTGTGGAGATGGTAAGACTTTGATGCGCTGAGATACCTGAAAGAAGCCTCTGAGTCTGGGGTGTGGAAATGAAAGGGAGAGTCAGGCGGGGCCCTGTCTTCAAGGGACTTGTCAGCCCAGTTAGATGTCTTTATTTCATTGCCAATGTGTTGACATCTAAGGGTTCCCAGGGGAGTGGACTGACCCCTTTATATTCTCAGGAGATCACAGTGGCTGGAGAATGAATGGACTGGATTACTGTGGGCCAGGCTGGGAGAGTAGAAGTCCATTGGTTAACCAAGGTGCAAAGCATGGAGACTTGGGTACCAGACTAGGAACAGTGAGGATGGAGAGCGGTTTATATTTGTGAAAGAGTCCTTGAAAGTGATATCTAGGGGTAAGTTGGATGTGAGGGAGAGGAGATGGAATTATCAATGATAACAGCTGGATTTTGGGGCTTTAGAAACTGTGTAGGCAGAATGACAACAGGGAAGCTGGAGGAGGTTCTGTCTGAGACAGAGAGATAGAGAGTGCTGAGAGTGGCTTGTCAGTCACTACAGTGGGTGGACCTGTCATGAAGGAAGCTGGAATTTCAAGAGTGGAGATCAGAAAAGAGGTCTGAACAGAATGTGGGAGTCGTGGGCATAGATTATGTGTGTCTGCATGTGTGTGTACATATAATGTTCTAATGCTACATGGGGACGACCTCATGTGTTCATAAAACCTTATGTGTTGCTTTATGACGAGTTAACCAAAGCACCGGGAAGTTTGGTCATTTGCCCAAAGTTGCTGAGCAGTGGAAGTGGAAGTTGGACTCACTCAGGCAGCCTGACTGACAGCCCTCTGTCATAAGCACTGAGGGTCAGAGGTCAGGGAGCATCTCCACACTCAGGCCCTCAGGGTAGCAGAAGGATGAGGGGTGTAAGCTGCAGGGGGCAGAAGTGGAGTTTGAAGGGAGGAGGTGGAGATACCTTGTGATGTCAGCAGCTTCCCACTAGCTATCTATTTTACTCATGGTAGTGTATATATGGGGCTTCCCTGGTCACTCAGCAGTAAAGAAGCTGCCTGTAATGCGGGAGACCTGGGTTCGATCCCTGGGTTGGGAAGATCCTCTGGAGCAGGGCACTCCTCCAGTATTCTCATACACACAGTATTCAGTATGGACTGGAGTATTACCCACTCCAGTATTCTTGCCTGGAGAATGCCATGGACAGAGAAGCCTTGTGGGCTACAGTCCACGCGGTCACACAGAGTTGGACACAACTGAAGTGACTTAAGCAGCAGCAGCAGTGGTGTACATATATCAGCGCCACCCTCTCAGTTCATCCCACCCCTTCTTCCCCTTGTTGTGTGCGCACATTCATTCTCTAAGTCTGCATCTCTATTCCTGACCTGCAAATAGATTCATCTGTACCATTTTTCTAGATTCCACATGTATGCATTAATATATTTCCTTTTCTTCCTCTGACCTCACTCTGTATGACCATCTCTTGGTCTGTCTATATCTCTACAGATGACCCAGTTTTGTTCCAAATGAAAGCATTTTTTTTTTTAAACAAAAGAAATACTGGAACTTTCTATATGGGGGTGGGGAATGAGCCAGTAGGTGGGCAGGGCTGAAGATGCTGTTTCTCGAGGGCCTAATCTTAGCAGTGAAGTCTCTAAAAAGTTGCCAGGGGATGGAATTCTAAGCACAAGTGGAGTCTGACCTTATTATAGGAATGGACACTTTCCATGCGGTCAGAGGAAGGAAGGAGGTGGTGGTTTATAGACAGCCTTTTGTGGCTTGCTTTACTGTTTAAGGGGGTTTGGGGCAGAGCTGAGAGTTGGGGAGGGGAGCTGGAGGAAGTTTGGAGCAGAGGGTGGGGGGAGGGCTTGCAGGCAGGACTCATCGGAGGGCAGGCAGAGTGGCACAGTGAGGCTGGTGGACATGAGTTTATGAATTTATCCAGTGTAGGTTTGGTATACTCTTCTGTGAATATCAGTAACTATAAATGACACTTTTTATGAAGTGAGATTATTGGCTTGAGTTTTTGATCCATATCTTGCCCTTCATGCAGATTGCCTCTCTAAATATCTAAATAATCGTCCCTATGTTATCTCTGTCTTTACACACACACACACACACACACTTAAATGTTTATGAGGAGATTGCATATATTTCAGATACATATGTTTTGTATTCATTGTATGATAGGAAGACACTGTGTAATTCTCAAAGTCTTCAGTTAATTACAGTATAGATATTTTAAGAGAGAGGATGGATTGCTATCCTTGTCTTGGTGGGTAAGATTCCTGAAAGGGGGTCATTTTTCCCCAGATTCCTAAGAATGGTGCAGAAATTCTCTCAAAGACGAGTTCACTTCTGACTGTATCCTTTCATGAATATATTTTTGATCCTTTTATCTTGAAATGTGTAATACAAATCTAGTCATACTTCTACATAAAAATTATATTGGGAAATCAGACTTATGGATGTGTGCTTTTTATTTGATATTTAATAATGCCCTAAGGCAGGTAATTCAAATTTTTATTAAAGTGAAATGATTTGACAGTCAAACTTTGAATTTAATGCATGAATGTTTCATTTAAGCTCTTAGAACTGAGAAGGAAAAAAACTTTTTTTCTGATAGCTTTCTAAAAAAATGTTCAAAATAATTCAGATTTATTTTAGCTGTGCTTTACTAAAATAACTTTAGTTTTTGGATTTAAAATGACATTCATTTTTACATGACATGTCTAGACATCTGGAGGGTTTTGATAACCGAGACTTATTATTCCTATGAATTACCTGGGACTTTTTATATTACCATTTAAGAAGTATGAACTATGGTTTTGTACTTGTTTAAAGAGTTCACATATAACTCATCCAGATACAAGGCTAGTTCAGATTTCTGGGAGCCAATTTACCCATCAAACTGTATGGATGTTGGAGAACCAAACCTTAGTAACAACAAACCAAAAATAAGACCAAGCTTTCTGGCCAGTTTCTTTGCTGCTCTTGACATAATAATGTGACTTCAAAGACCCAGAAAGGGTCTCTGCCCAAATATGAGGGTAAATTTGACACAGGGATCTTTCAGAAATACTTAACTTTTTTCTTCTTCCGTTTTTTCATTTCCTAATCTATTGGAAGCACACTTTTCATTTCCCCTTTTAAGGGAGGGAAAGGAGATTATCTAGAATTTTGACATTGGTTTTTACAGAAAACAATTATGATTAGCTATAGTTATTGCAAACGTGTACACTTTAACAATATTTGAGTCACAGGGGATTCAGGCAAATATATGAACAATCAGAATAGCTTTCTAAAAATTGGCTCATATTTAATGAAACAAATAGGCAAGTAATTATTTCATTGAAAGGTTAGTATTATAGTATTTAATGCTACCTGTGACATTTATTACATCTAAGGACACAATGTTATAAATTGCAAAAGTACGCATGGGGAGGAGGTCAGTACAGTCTGAATATGACTTTGGACTCTATCATAATATTGATACTAACCTTCGAATGAAATAATTACTTGCCTGTTTATTTCATTAAATATTAGCCAATTATTAGAAAGCTATTCTGTTTAAAAATTTGCCTGTTTCCCCTGTGACTCAGTTTAATTGTTAAGCAGCATACTTGTTTACAGTAGCTGTAGTTAGTTATAGTTATTTTCTGTAAAAACCAATGCTGCAGAACTCTAAATAAG